TTAATCTTAATTCCATAGACATATAGGCATTGAGTTAACTTGAATATGCGAGTAAGAACTCGATAGATTCTTATGAGTAACATTAATCCTGTCAATCAACAATCCAGGTAAATCGATTAGTCATTTTAAGCTAAGAACATAGCACGATTATTAACTAGCCTGTGACCCTGGAATATCCTCTCCTACTGTTTGTTATTCGAAATTGTTATTTGTTTGGTTAATTGCTCTAGTTAGATTATTGCTTGGTAGTTTGGGTAGTAAAACAATTACATCTCAATTTTGTGAAGAACCAAGGATAGACAAATTAATTGAGTTTGAATTAGTCAATAGTTAATCATAAGTCTTCGTGGGAACGATACTCTACTCACTACTCTATTACTTGACGATCGCGTGCACTTGTGTGGGTGTTTTTGGTCGCAACAATACTACGAGTGAAACTAATTTTTTTTGTATTTTCAAATGTCATAATACTTTAAATATAAATATATTAATTGACTTTAACCTAAAGATGAAAATATTTATTTTATTTTTTGTAATTTTTATTTTTTTGTGATAAAATAAAGTAAAAGAGTCAAAACTATTTAAAATAACGATATTAAACCTAAACTAAATATTTTACGCTAAAAATGTGTAAAATCTTGGAATGGTAAAAAATCACATGTCTACAGAGGCTAAGATGGTTCGGACATGTAAAGAGGAGAGACTCTGATACCCCGGTTAGGAGGTGTGAGAGGTTGACCATGGCGGGTCAGAAGAGGGGTGGAGAGAGGTCTAAGAAGTATTGAGTGAGGTGATTAGGCAGGACATGATGCTACTTTAGCTTACCGAGGACATGACCCTTGATAGGAGAGTGTGGAGATCGAGAATTAAGGTTGTGGGTTGACAGGTAGTTTAGAGTTTCGTCTAGTAATCCCAATATTATTAGCACGAGTCTTGTATTTTGTTGTTCCTAACCCCTTGTTATTTCACATTGTGTCATTATTTCCATCTAGATTGACTCTATTTTTATCGTGTCGTACTTTTAGATTTCTGTTATTGCACGTATCTCCATTTGCGCTCATGTCTAATTACCGTGTTGTTGCTAATGTCTGTTTATTTCTTCATTTTCTCTTCTCTTGAGCCGAGGGTCTTTCCGAAACAATCTCTCTACCGTCACAAGGTAGAGGTAAGGTCTGTGTACACTTTACTATCCCCAGATCCCACTTATGAAATTTCACTGGGCTTTTTGTTGTTGTTGCCCTTTCTAGCAAAAAGAGATTATTTTCTCAAATCCTGTTAACTTGTTTTTAGTTTTAAAATTAATATAATATCTAAAGATGTAAAACACTTGAAAAAAATAACAAATTGGATATTTGAAATCACTCCAAAAATAACAAGTCATTATTAATGAATATGGGTACAAAAACCATAAAGAATGAGGCAACGATCAATCACGTGGCATGACCCCAACTAATTAAATTAAATATTAGTAAATGCCAATAGGTTGGCCTATGGATAAAGCAAAATTACCTGAACTGAAAAGGATAGTAATGCACCGCATATGGTATGGGTTACCTTACTGCTACATAGCATAACATTCTCATAAATGAAAAAGTTGGCCACATGAATGTCTTTATTACGAGCATCCTCCCACTAAAAACTAGCAAAGGAATACTAATATTTATGTTCGAGACGAATTATACGAAAGAAGGGCAACTCTTGAGCAATAGAAAAATTATTTTTATGTGACCAATAGTCACGAGTTCGAAGCATGGAAGCAGTTGCTAATATTTGTTTTAGAGTAGACTTTTTTTAGAGGCGGATCCAAGATTTAAACTTTATGGGTTCAGATTCACAATTATACTATATCTCATCTAATTTAATGGGTTAAAAATTTTATTATTTGATCATACTTAGTGATTTTTTGGGCATAATACAGGATATGAGCAAAAGCTATGGGTTCTGTTGAACCCATAGCTTCTATACTAAATGCGCCTTTGGGCTCTCTACATCATACCTTTAGGGATGCAACACTTTTATAGATTATGCATGCACAAATACGGAATAATTTGTGTACCGAACTGTCCTTTTTTTTTTTTAAACAAAAGAGATATACCGCATGAAATGGAGGTATTGTGTTGCATTAGCGTGTAATAGTTATATGTGAAAATCAATTTTGCTAGTTATCTCATATTATTTTTCTATTTTTCTAAGTTATCATATCAATCTTGATATAAAATATTATTGTCATTGTCTGTAGATTTATTTTACCTAATAATATTAAAATAAATTATATTGCCAATGCATATAACTTAAACTCTGACCTAAAATATTCTGCATGCAATAAAATGAAAGGTCATAGAGTAGTAAACAACAACGGTATTTTGACCAAAGGAAGAGGCAACTATTCAAATATTTATTTTTTTATTTTTGGAGGAATTTTTCTGTTTTTTATACTCCATATGAAGACGAGAATCTATATTATGTTGGGGTCAAACATCAGATATTAACACGCGCTTGTGCTGACATAACATTTTTTCGTACAAATTAGTATAAGAAAAGAAGACTAATTCAACTATGTTAATGGTGGTAATACAACGATTCAAACTAGATTATACATATAATTGTACCTAATATGATACTGGTCAAATTGCCAAATAGATTCTTTTCTATTTTTGGTCCTGAAATGGTATTAGTAGTAGTTTTAACTTTTAAAAAAAAAAAATAATTACTGTGTTTGAAATAAATCTCGACTACTTACTATCTATTAGCATATGCACTAAATAATTTTATTTTTTTAAATGGTTAATCGACTCGATAATAAATAAACATTTAAAAGTGAATAACAAAGAATGTTGGCTGTAAAGTGGAGTGTTGCATAGCATATAGCCATATACCATGGTCCATGCGTAATATTTTTTAGATTTTATTTCGGTGTGATTTTGTAAATAATATATTAATTAATTTATATACTTTTTTTTTTGCTTGGGTGAGGGCAGAGAAAACTGCACCGCAATTTATATACTAATTAATATGTAACTCTCAATATATAATTAAATAAATAGCCTATCCAGTTCGCCAGAATTGAATAAGGGGTGTGTAGAGTTGGTGATATTAAATTGTTGCCTCACATTTTGGTCAACAATTAATACCTAAGAATATTGTTAGCCTACTTTTGAATTTCATAACTTTTGGCGTTTGCCTATTTTTTTTTCTTTTCTCAACAACATATTACAAGTGTAATTTTATAAAGATAGGAACGAAGTTCATAAATTGAATACATTTTTCTAAAATAGAATTAATTTTGGTTGATTTGCACATTTAAAATTTGAGCTTTTCTTAGTAGTCTAAGGGACAAAACATTTAAGAGAGAACTCGTCTAGTTAAAACCTACTTTAACAAGTTGACAATAAGATAAGAAAAAAATATATATCGTTGAACTTATCATATCCATTGACACAATAAACTCTCTATCTTATGACACTATTAATATTTTGTGAAAACCAAGAAATAAAAATATTTATGAAAACTAGATATTTAAATAGAATAATTTTTTTCAACAACGAGAGAGGGAGATTATTTTCTCTTTTCTGCTGTGAAAGGAGGAGTTGACCGGTTAGAAAAAAGTACAAACATATATGGTGGAAAAATAATAGAAAAGAGATGATAAATGTGTTCTTATTTATCACATTTATTATCATTATTACATTTGCTTGTCCTATAGTATTAAAAGTCACTTTTCAAGTTCAACAGAAACCTATATATATATATATATANATCAGTTTAACAATGAGCCAAATTAAGCTCTTAAACGTGTTAGTGACTTCGTCTAATGCTTGTTTTATGTAAAGCAAATTTGCATCCCACCAAAAGTAGTTATGAGTCAATGAATAAATGAATGAAATTTTTTAAATTAATTATTAATACCTAATAGCCCCACGCAACAATGAGTTTCAATTAGTATAGACACACATTTTATTTTATTAACTATATATATATAAAATTCGAATCGAAAATAACTAATATATCCTTCTATATCATATAAATTACTAAGAAATTCAAAATTGAACGACCTTTTTACCTTTTAATAAAATAATATTCCTCTAATATTTTTGTTCAATGAATCAAGTACTAGAACAACCGGAGGAAGAACCACTAGACTAGCTCCAAAACTTTGAAATTTTAAAATGTTGTGTTAATTTTGATCTTACAACACTAAATGCATCCATAATTTGAATATTATTTATCATTTAATATTTACTCATAATTGAGGTATTTGTAGTTTTCAAAAACAATTAATATTAAGGATAAAATAAGAAAAAAATAATTAATATAGTCTTGAACTTTTAGAATGACAAATAATTTAAGATAACTGTTTTTAGCAACCACGACAGATAATTCGAATTACATTAAAATTAGCAGTATCCACATAAATATTTATAGTTTGTTTTAGATTAAAATTTTCATTTTTTTTAAAAAATTTGTGCCGAGTTAAATCCTGATAAAATGAGACGTATGATTTTTTATTTTGGTTTAATTAAGATTCGAAATTTGTGAAATTTTAAACAATTTAGCACCCAAAAATCACAATAGTTACAACTGTTAGTTGAATGGACACATCATGTCGGGGGTTAAAACTGTCACCTAATTAAATATATACATACAGTAGCGATGGTTTCGTTCCTCAAAATTGAAAGTGACGCCCAAAATTAGAGAGAAGAAATTAACAAAACGACTCACTTTCCTCCTTGTGGCTTTGCCTTTTCGTCAAAATTGGTTCCTTTTTTTATTGAGATTTTCTTACTTGGTCCAATTTTTGTGCTCAGTCTTGATTTTAATTACAGTAGATCAGCCTTTATGTGAACTGATTTCTGGAGGGTTTTCCATAATCACATGGCAGTTCAGGTATGAAAAATCTTGTCTTTATTTCTGAAAATGGTGAATTTTTGTTCATTTTAGTTATTTATTTTGTGTTGACCATTTCTTGATTAGAATATTTTATGAACCCCTTTTCAAATTATGATGAATTATTCTCAAGTACTTGTGATGATGGGTTAATTTCATGGCAGTTCTGGTAGGAAAAATCTCTTATTTTATGTTGAAAATGGTGAATTTTTGTCATTTTAGTTGTAGAGTTGATTAGCATATTGTTTTAGTTATTTCTTGTGTGTTGACCGCATATTGATTGTATTTTTTGAACCCCTTTTTCAAATTATGATGAATTATTCTCAAGTACTTGTGATTATTATGGTCATGTTTGTTGAATTTGATACTCAATTTTGTTTGTTTTCTTGTTTATTGATTATGTATGGGGATTTCTTTTGTTTGGTTAGAAAATTTGTGTTTGGTTTTTGAGTTGTCTTTCCTATTTGATTGGAAATTTAAGTTTTGGCCAGCATATATTGTTGACCTCACTAGTTTTGGGTTGAGGCTTAGTTGATCAGTTGATTGATTGTTTGCTAAATGGCTGTTTTCTGATTTTATTTTCATTTTCTTTCTAGGATTTTGTAGTTTGAGTTCAAAGAATGATGGGAAGTTATAGTGACAGTGAAGAAGAATGTTTCTTTGATAGCCGTGATGACATCACTTCTGTCTCTGATTTGGGTTCTGATTGCAACGAGGCGTGCACTCGTGATGGGGGCGAGGAGTGTGTTTTAGGATATGAGTTTTGGAATAAGGATTTAGAAAGTGTTGATGAACGTCGTGATAGATTTTTGAAATGGTTAGGTTCGAATTCGAGTTGGGTCAGACCTGATGGACATGAACAGAATGATGTAAAAAGAATTAGGGATAGCGGTGAGACCGTGCTGGCGAATTCAGATTCTAGAAACAGTTGTTTCTTAGGTCGGTCGTCTCAATCTTCCCAGTCTAATGAAGCTTTGGAATTGGAGGATGAAGATGCAGCAGAGGCGGGATTGCATTGCAAAATTAGGAATTTGGACAATGGAGTAGAGTTTGTCGTGGATGGATTTGGTCAGGATGGTATGCTTAGCCAAGTACGTGAAGTAGGTTCGAACAGATTGTTCTCTGCTGAAGAGTTCCAGAGAACTCTTGGGTCATCGCCTTTGGTTCAGAAGCTTCTGCGGAGAGTACCAGATGGAATTGATACAGTTGATGCTAAGACAAAAAATAAAAGAAGTTGGCTTCAAAAGCTCACTGTTGCGACCCATAATAAGATGAGGTCAATAGGAGACAAGGTGAAGGCCAAGGACTCCAATTTAAAGCCGGGGAATCACACTCATAGAGTCCGGGTCCACACTTGTAGTAAGGAGTCAAAAGAACTGTCCTCACTTTACACAGGGCAAGAGTTCTTAGCACATGAGGGCTCAATCTCAACAATGAAGTTTAGTCCTTGTGGCCAATATCTAGCAAGTGCCGGCAAAGATGGCATGGTGGTGCGCATTTGGAGGGTGATTGCAGATGAAATTCCGAGCAACTTGAATGTTCAGGATAGCGACCCATCTTGTTTATACTTCTCACTGACTCATACATCAAAACTAGCTTCTTTAAACGACAATAGAGAGAAAATTAATGGGTCAAAAATCATGAAAAAGTCGTCGGAATCAGCTTGCGTCGTCTTCCCGCCAAAGATTTTCCGGATATTGGAGAAGCCATTGCATGAGTTCCATGGACACAAGGGTGAGGTCTTGGCCCTTTCATGGTCCAAAAATGGGGTTAGTATAATATCTTTCTGGTTCAAGTATGTCTTTTGTGGTATCCTAGGCTATTTTCCAATCTGAACACGCTGTAATTCATGTAATGGACATCATTTTCTGCAGTATCTGCTGTCATCTTCAGTTGATAAAACAGCTCGTCTCTGGCAAGTAGGGCACGATCAATGCCTTGGCGTTTATTCACATAATAATTATGGTGAGCCTGCACTTACTTTTCATATTAAAGTATTTCCTATGATCTTTCAGTTGGTAGATGATCTTGTTACCAATGTGTAAATGCTGTGTTCTATGTGCAGTCACTTCTGTAGAATTCAATCCAGCGGATGATAACTTTTTCATTAGTGGTTCAATAGATGGGAAAGTACGTCTCTGGGAGGTGCATGGTTGCCGAGTAATTGATTGGACTGATGTAAAAGAAATAGTGACTGCTGTTTGTTATTGTCCCGATGGAAAGGTTTGATTGCATTGCTGTTACATTTTTAAAATTGTACCATAACTTTTAATGCAGTTCTGTTAATTTATTGCTTTTAATTGGTGCAGGGGGGCGTTGTGGGATCCATGGATGGCAACTGTCGTTTTTATGATGTAGTAGGTGCGGACGCATATTTGCTTTTGAATCTTCTCTTTTTGCTCTTTTCCTTTTCCCTCTCATGAGGTCTTCACTCTTATGTCTTAAGAAACTTAAAAAGTCCAGAAATAGATTATGTTTCGTCTTTGAATTGTCTGGAGTCGGTTGTCATGGTAGGTATATTCGCCGAATATATCATTTCCTATTGCACGTTATGCTCAGTGGAAGTATGTTTTCGATGCACTTCTCTTTGTATTTTGTGAGATAAGCTAAATTCGTTGATAGCGTGTTCTTTCCAGAGGTGAGTAGCCTTTGTGTTACAGCAAAGTCTTTTGGCCTACGAATAGCATACCAGTTTTAGTGGTTTGTAGTAATGGGGGAAGATACTCCGCCATAGACTATTGAGTGACCTGTCGAGCTGATCCGACACCAAGTTGGCCGCACCTCTGAGGACTCAGGGGTTTGGGGGAGTGGGTGTGGGCTAGGTATATAGCATAGGACATAAAATCTCCTATGGCTTTTCTTGATTTTACACATTAGTGCTCTCTCTCTCTCTCTCTCACACACACACACATTACGTTGTTGAGGGTGCCTCCCTCTGCAACTTTTACTTGCCCTTTTAAGCTTTTAGCATCTGAATATAAAACAAAGTTAAGGTTTCTTCCTTTTTATGCTAGAAATCCTGGGTAGTTCATTGTTGGTGTAAAATTTGTATATTGGGGCAGAGTTTAACACTTAGTATTTGCCACTTTTAAATAGAAGAGACACTTTGGTGTTTCTCTACGACTTTAGGTATATAAGCGCACCTCCCTATACGTAGTGTAACTATTTTAGTTTAACTATTTTACGTAGTATCTTCCTTTTTAGTTTAACTATTTTACGTAGTGTAGCTTCAACATCGATTAGACAGCTAAATGGTTGAAAGCTATTTTGTTATTTTCTGCTTGTTTCGATCTACTCTCTTTGGCATTTGACACTGTACTATCAATCGTTTGCATTAGGTAATCGGTTGCAGATGGGCTCACAAGTATGCCTTCAAGGAAAGAAGAAGCTTGCTCGCAAAAGAATAACTGGATTTCAGGTATCCTTTTTTTTTTCTTTCCATTTTTGTAATACACGAATTATTTTTGTGCGCTTAAGAGACTACTGTAAACTTCACGCAGTACTGTCCGAACGACTCGAGCAAAGTCATGGTAACTTCTGCTGACTCACAAGTTAAAATACTTTGTGGATCTGATATCATCTGCAAATTCAAAGGTGTGTTTGATGTCTTGATGTGAAATCCATTTGGCGCCAAGCAGATTTATGAGTTTTTTTCTGAAAGTATTTCTTGCTGCGTGTCTAGGAATTCGAAATTCTGGAAGCCAATTTCCTGCATCTTTCACCTCAGACGGGAAACACATTCTCGCAGTTACTGAGGATTCAAATGTTCATATCTGGAACTACACTAACCAGGGCCGGACTACTACAAACAAACCAAAACATGTCCGGTCATCAGAGAGTTTCTTTTCCAACAACGCATCAGTTGCCATACCTTGGTGCGGGTTCAAAACTAATCCAGGAACACTACCTACAAGCTTTTTAGAAAATGGGAATGTCAACGAGAACTCGCTGCCAAAGACTTCAGATTGTTTTTCCCTTGGGCGTGCGTTTTTCTTAGACTCTCTATCTAAGGGCACCGCGACATGGCCAGAGGAGAAGCTGCCTAATCCGAGTCCAGTAACCGTCACCCCTTCAGTATGCAAATCGGAGTACAAGTTCTTGAAAAGTGCATGGCAAGGTGCATTAAGCTCTCCTCATTTATGGGGTCTTGTGGTTGTCACTGCTGGATGGGATGGATGTATTAGAACATTTCTCAACTATGGGTTACCAATTCGTTTTTGAAATCTGGTATTTTGTGTAAATTGTTTTTGTTTGTAAATTAATAGCAATTCTTGGCTTTGTCACCAAAATGGTGCAAAGGGCAAAAGATCCTACTCCTTAGGTTACGAGTATAGGATTGGAGGGGCATATTAGTCACTTTAATACAAGTTGTAATAGTCTTGTTCATTCAATTAACTTATATATTCTTTTATTTGTTTGGAAGAAAAGCTGTGGCCACAGAGGTCCATGGAGAATCATGTGGTATGCCTAAACACAAGTAGTAATAGCACGGGCTAGCCAGTTTTTGGATTGGTGATCGAAAAATAGTCAGCGTTTGTAAAGTTATTAAAAAATAGTTACTATTTTGCTGAAATACGGAAAGTTCTAGAAAAATAACACGGTATAGCCAATTTTCGGACTAGTCATTCAAAAATAGCCGGCGTTTTACGAAGTCAATGAAAAATAGCCACTATTTTACTGTAACAGAGACCGGTCCAGCATAATATACTGGAGTTCGGTGCACCTGTGTATGAACTCCAGCATATTATGTTGGACCGGTATACTTTGCTGATTCCAGTATAATATACTGGAGACTGGAGCACCGATGCTCCAAACTCCAGTATATTATACTGGACAATTATACTTGTTGGAACTCCAGTATATTATGCTGGAGTTCTAGTGTACTTATGCTGGAACTCCATCATGCTGGAGTTCCAGCATACTTATCCTGGAACTCCAGTATAATATGTTGGTGTTCAAGCATACTTATGCTGGAACTCTGGTATAATATACTGGCGTATTTTCCGAGTTTTGAACAATGTTTTCGCTCAGATTTATCTTTACATGAAAAGTGGCTAAATTTCGATTACTTTTGAAACTGGGCTATTTTTGAACGACCAATTGTAAATCTGGCTATTGAATTTCTATGCTGGATAATGGAGCTCCTGCGTATAAACTTCCAGCATATTATGTTGGAAGTCCAGCATATTTGTGAAATTCCAGCACATTATGCTGGAGTTTCATATGTAAAAAATTCGAACTCCAACATGGAACTTTTTCAGATTTTTTAGGATGTTTTGTTTAGATTTTATCTTCACATGAAGAAGTGGTTAAATTTTGATTACTTTTGAAACTGCGGCTATTTTTAATTAATAGTTGTAAATTTGGCTATTTATGATTTCTTTCCCATGGAGAATCATGTGGTATGCCTAAACACACCTTTTTTTTTTTTTTTTTGCTTTTCCACCTTGTGTTCGATATTTGTATTTGAGGTCTGATTAAATTTAAATTTGCATCAAAAATCTCATATTAGGATAAAACGCTTCCTAAGAAAAGGCGAACCCCCAAATTTCTTGCTTCACTTGGAATGTTTTTAACATATGATGGTAAAATTGGCAAAAACATTTTGCTCTCTATTCTTTTCAGTGCACGTGGAATGATAATTACATTAAACACCTTGAGTGGAAACAAATTGGTCGGTTGGTTCAATTTTAGGTCCCTAATAAATACTTGGTGGAAATTTTTTTTCACAATGAAAGATTCCAAAGGCCTTTGTTAATAATAATTCACGCATCTTTGTCCCGCGTATGGTGGACTAAGATTACAGCTAATAAAAGTTTATGGACATTTACGAATTACTCCCAGTTAAGGGTGTTCATAAAAATTCGAAAACTCAAACCAAATCGCAAACCAAACTAAATCGAGCAAAAAATTCGATACTTTTTAGTTTGATTTGGTTTTGGTTTTGAAATTTAAAAATCGATCAAATTTGGTTTGATTTTGGTTTTAATAAAAAAAATCGAACCAAACCGAATATAGGAGTAGCTATTTTAAATTTGTTATTACATATATATATATATATTCTTTTATACAAAGTTTCAACAAAAGTAATAGTAAATGTTAATCGTTTGCACTTTTAGTACAATTCTTTACCTTTATATTCTAGTTTGATTAGTAATTTTAATCTATTTCATGTTAAAAATAATATATTTTTAATTGATTCCTTAAATTATTCATTACTATTTGATTCAATTACCAGCAATATATCTTGGTAAATAATAGATTTCTGAAAGGGCAATTGATTTGATAGTGTTAAGTTGAAAATGTGGTCGCCGAAATATGTGTTTGGTAGTGTATGTCTTATATTTTAAAAAAAACGACAATGTGATGACCCAAAAGGTCATCACTTGTTTTAAAACGAAACTTCTGTATTCTGAGGCCTTGAAAACCTCATTTAGAGTCACCTTGATTCGCGTGCGCAGTCCGGGCGCGTAGCCGGAAAGCTTAAATATGAAATTCTGTGAAAAATGATAAAATTTGGTTATAAAATGAGTTAGTTTGACTTCGGTCAATATTTTGGGTAAACTGACCCGGACCCGTGATTTGACAGTCCCGGAGGGTCCGTAGGAAAATATGGGACTTGAGCGTATGCCCGGAATCGAATTCCGAGGTCCCAAGCCCGAGAAATGAATTTTCAAAGAAAATTGTTTAAGGAAATTTGAAATAAAATTTGATTAGAATATGTTAGTATCGGGCCCGTATTTTGGTTCTGGCGCCCGGTACAGGTCTTATATATATGATTTAAGACGTTTCTGTAAAATTTGGTTAAAAACGGACGTCGTTTCACGTGATTCGGACTTGAATTGCTAAATTTGATGCTTGAAGAGGTTTGAGAAAAATTCTTGATTTTGAGGTTTGATTCATGGTTTTTGAGGCTATTTTGGCGATTTGATCGCACGGATAAGTTCGTATGATGTTGTTGAGTTAGTACATATGTTTAGTTAGGAGCCTCGAGAGCTCGGATGAGTTTTTGATAGGTTTCGGGATGCCTTAGGCCTAAAAACACAGTTGTTGCAGGTTCAAAGAAATTTGCAGGTCTCTGAACCCGCTAGCGCAGTCCGCGAGAAATCGTGTGCGACCGCGGAAGGCCAGTGCGGTCCGCGTGAGGTTCGTGTTGTCCGCGGTGGAGAGTTGTGCAGCCGCGGTAGGTTTTGTGCGGTCCGCACAGGGGCTGTAAGGTCGCGGTCCATTTTGTGTGGTCCGTACAGGGCACCTGAGAATAGTATAAATAGACGGGATTTTCAGCTATTTTTCATTTTTCAAAATCCCAAAAACATAAGAGGTGATTTTTCAAACAACATTTCTTCTCCAAATCAATTGTAAGTCATTTTTAACTAGTTTTCTTCAATTATTAACATCTTTTAACATGATTTCAACTTCAATCAATGATTTTCATGGGGAAATTGGGTGTTTTGGATATAACCTAGGTTTTCACAAAAATAGGGATTTGGACCTCGATTTGAGGTCCGATTTCAAAACAAATTACACATTTGAGCTCGTGGGGGAATGGGTAATCGGGTTTTGGTTCGAACCTCGGGTTTTGACTACGTGGGCCCGGGGCGATTGTGACTTTTCTTGGGTAAAACTTTGGAAAACTCATTTTGATGCATTCAAATTGATTCATTTATCGTTTATTGATGTAATTAAGTAACATGTGGCTAGATACGAGCGAATTGGCGGAGGAATCGAGGGGTAAAGCTATAATTGAAGCTTGAGTTGTGTTCGAGGCATCGAGATAAGTGTTTGGTCTAGCCCTAGCTTGAGGGATTAAGAGTTGTGTCCTATTTGCTATTTGTTTCTTGTCGAGTACGACGTATAGCCATGGTGACGAGTAACTATGCGTTGGTGTCAAGTATGACCGTGAGTCTTATCTTGTGATTTTCATGATCTCATTGTATTATTCATGCCTTGGTGAAGATTTCTATTTGTTGTATAAAGAATTGTGACCTATGAACATTGAGGAGCGTTGGCTCCAGTTGTATAATGAATTGTGAAAATATAAGTGATAATCGAAACCCTAGAGCATCGGTTCGAGTTGTGAATTGAATTGTGAAGTAAAAGTGAGAAAGAAAAAAGGTCATTATGTTGCCTCTTGCCGTGCTAGTTGAGGTTTCCTTGCATTGTGTTATTAATTGATATTACTAACGCTTAGGTTGATGATTCTTCGTGTTAGGTGTTGTAACAAGTTTGGTTATAGCTGGGTAGTTAGGTGTTGTAACAAGTTTAGTTATAGTTGAGGTAGTTAGATGTGGAAACTAGTTGAGTTATAGTTAAGATAATTAGGTATTGGAACAAGTTTGGTTATGGCTATTTCTCCCTTGTCGGGACGTATATACTTGTACTGTGGAGTTCCCTTGCCGGGATAGTGTAGTCTATTATTGATCCTTTGCTGGGACGACTAAATTATGATTATTGCGGACGGTATATTTGGAACGGGTTGCGCGCCACAACATTATTGGATATTATATTGGATCGGGTTGCACGCCGCAACAGATATTATATTGGATCGGGTTGCACGCCGCAACAGATATTATATTGGATCGGATTGCACGCCGCAACAGCTATATATGTGGATCGGGTTGCACGGCGCAACAGATATTATATTGGATCGGGTTGCATGCCGCAACAGTGATATATGTGGATCGGGTTGCACGCTGCAACAATGTTAAATGATAAGGGATCGGGTTGCGCGCCACAACAGTATTGTTATTGTATTGATTGTAGACATTGAGTGTTCTTTCATACTTTATTAAGTTTTCTAATAGAATTGATATATTTCCCCGAAGCATGTTTCCCCCTCCCCTTAAAACTGTTATTACCTGTTTATATTTCTGTTGTATATTACATATAACTGCACAGGTTTATCTGGAGTCTGGTCCTAGCCTCGTCACTACTTCGCCGGGGTTAGGCCAGACACTTACCAGTACATGGGGTCGGTTGTGCTAATACTACACTCTGCACTCTGTGCAGATACCGGAGCGACACTTGATCGGCAGCAGTAGGGGGTCAACCTTCAGTCCACCGAGACACCGAGGTAGCCTTGCAGGCATCCGCAGGCCCGGCGTCTCCTCTATCTTTTAGTATGTTCTATTATCTCATGTATCCGAGACAAACAGTGTTATTTTTCCTTCAAGTTGTTATATGTAGTACTCTTAGTAGTCCGTGGATATTGTGTCACCAGTTTCTGGGTAGAGGCATGTGTCGACTTTCGAACATTTTTGGTTTTATATTTATTTAAGACTTCCGCTTAAATCTCATATTCCGTTGTCATTTAGATGTTTACCACTTGTTAAAATAAGTTGTTAAAACAGAAGAGTTAAAGATTTCTAAGTTCGTGGCTTGTCTAACTTCTACGAGTAGGCACCATCACGA